ATGATGTGGTTTAGTATTTTGCTTGGGATGGATAGGAGCATAATTCCGCGCTAGTTCTTGCATTGAATTAAGTATCCTTTCTTCCAATCCTCGGGTACCTTGCCCTCTTTCCACACCTTCTATAGCAATGGTGTCATCAGGTCCGCTGTTGTCTCTGGGTCCATTTTCAATGCTTCTGCTGGGATTCCGTCTAGTCCTGCTGCTTTTCCAGCTTTTAGCATCTTGATTGTCTTCAGGATTTCTGTTGTCGTCGGAGGGTTGGTGTCCACTGGTATTTCTGCTTCCACTGTTGGTATTTTTGGGCTCGTTGTAGGTGGCGGTCGATTTAGAAGTCTTTTGAAGTGTTTAGCCCAGTGTATTCTTTGCTTCACCTCTTTGGTGATTGGCTTTCCATTGTCGTTTCTCACTGGATTAATTTGTGTTGATCTCTTCCCCGATAGGAAGTCTCCTTTGCATGCACTTCAGCTTGTTCTGCTTCACTTGACATGGCTTCATAATATTTTCTTTTGTCTTCCCTGGCACTCTTCTTTACCCTTTTGTTTAGTGTATTGTAGCTTGCATTGAACTCCTGTTTTTGTTGCTCGTCGGTGCAGTGGATAATCTTTTGCTTCACTATTCTTCCCTCTTCTATTAGTCTCCACGTGTCTGTGGTGAACGATTGTTTGTCTTGTTTCCATGCAGGTGTGTTTCCACATCGCTTTCAGGTTGTTCCATTGTGTTCCAAAGCTGGTCTCTCCGCTAATGTTGATTTGTATCTCTGCCTCTTTCCTTACGATTGCAGTGAGGATGTCCTTTGTGACCTGATCCTTCAGATTTTTTAAGTATTGAACTTGGCTTGTGGTCTATCTGCAGCTCCTGTTTCATTGAAGCTTTTAGTTTGATTTGTAGGGTTCCTCGCACACGATAGTGGCCTGAGCCAGCGTCTGCTTCTCTTCTTACTTTTGTATCTAGTAAGCTATGTCTCCACTGCCTTGAGCAACATTGAGATGAAGTAAATTTGGTTTTTAGTTCACCCGTCTGGTGACACCCCTTGTAGATATCCGTGTGCTTGCATACACTGTTCATTGAAGACTCAGAAGTCGGCGAAGAGAGTTCTCCATTCTCGTTCATCTTTTCATTAGCTTTTCTACACATAATGAGTTCTCTCCCTGTGTTGTCTGGTCCCAGTTTGGCATTTATGTCGCTCGTCCATATACCATTAACTAAAGAAACAAAATAAATAAATATTTTATCCCTCTACGGCCAAAGCAGAGAACTGTACATACTTCTTTTGCACTCAAACGTCTGGCTTAAATTTGTGAATGAAATAGTCAAGGTCTGCATTGTCTTCAGAAGTTTACAACGAACAAGATACGATAAGTTAGCCTAAATTCGATAAATGATCTTAAAATCATAGTTGGAGTTGCTAGAATGACACAGACACCGATCAAGTATCCTATATTAGATCTATGCACAGCCTTACTTCCTCCTCTATGCTCTCAGATCCGTGTGTAAAGCATTGTCTAGACTACGACCTATGTGCTTTGCCCCACAAAAACAGATGAACTGATCCATGGATGCACTAAGAGGTGGCTAAATAAGGGAGCTTAATCTTTTACAGAGTCAGAGAACAATCTACTGCCGGTGAAGGTCCAAAAACAATACTTGTGATACAGAATGGAATTCTCAGCATTAATCACAATATTGCATCTAATTTCCTCAGATTATAAATAAGAAATAATCACACAGAAAATTTGCCATAATTACAAAAGGGGTAATGTCAAAAACATGCAACATATAAAATGGAAATAATAATTATAACAGCTAAGGTAATAATAATAATACAAGTGAAAATTGCCGTGGTCTTGTTTCACACAGTATTGTCCGTGAGGTATAGATATCCTAGCATGTTTAAAAATATTGAATATAATGTTCTCTTTACATGATGTGGTGAGGGGAAAACAGAATTTACAGCAGTCATAGAGATAAGTTGGTATTTGCAATTGTGAAAGTAAAACAAACAAAGAAGCAACACGACCATAAATATAATAGAAATAATAAAAGTAAAACTTGAAGGTATATAAGGACGAATGGATGGAGGAATTTGTTTATTTACTAGATGAAAAGAAGTTTAGTTAGTTCTTGCCTGACACTATTTTCATAAAATAGGTGCCAAGTGTGGTATCATAGAATTTCTATATTTAGGCATGCGAACATACAGTTTTCTGAAGTTACTTCTTGTTCTACCTGAGGAGATGCAAGATGAAAGTAAGCTAAGGGTAAGGTGGATGCTCCAAGTCAGACAAAATCCCTCTAGTAGATTTATTGCACGAAGTCAAGTGTCTATCGACAACGACGTTAACAATGTGATCCCTTGAGACACCGCTCAATATACTGACCGCCTTTAGCATTCTACGAATTGTGACAAAGTCGTTTTTACGCTAACCAGGAAAGAATAAGCAGGGGTGAACAATAAAGAAGAATAGGTAGGATGCAAGAGTTTATGAACTGTAAGAGGAGGGGTTGAGTTATACCAGAGTGCCTTGCCTTAATATAAGAATAAAACTTGTGCACTGTGGTAGAGTGTAATTCCATTATGGGTAAATTTTGTTTTGATAAAGGCTCACAGTGTTATACAGTAATGTTTACTGATGACGTTTCGAGCAAAATTTATTGCTCATAATCATATCAAGGTAATAACACGACTTCCTAACTTCATTTATATGATTCCATTGTTTTTCACTTGATTTGATTGGCAGTAGTATTTTCCATATTTCGGATATGAGTGATGTCTGTCTGTCTGTTTTCGACATAGAACTATACACAAATGTGCGGAAGTTCAAGTCGCCACATTCCGTGTAGCACGCGAAGCAAGCAAGAGAAGAAAGTACAAGAAAAGCATAATAGAAACAGTGAGCAGAGGTGTAAGACAAAGGAGTAATAAAGAAATACAAAACAGTTTCATTGAAGATCATAAGTCACAGGGAGTGGATGCATCTGCGCCACAGAGAACGGTTTTGAGCCATGTCACCAATTGTTTCCAACCATAGATTTTTACCGTCCCGAGGACCCCAGCCTGGAAGTCTACACCTTTCTACGTGGCTTAGACCAACTGTTGTGGATTTCATTGACTGATGCCAAGTTTTTGTTTGACCGCCGCTAGCTTTTTTCCAGCCTGACCCTATATCCGCTAACATAGCTCGTCGAGGGAGGCGATGGCTTGGCATACGTAACACATGTCCTAACCATCTCAGTCTTTGTAGCTTCACGACTTCGTCGATTGATTTCCCTGTTTACCTATAACTCTACGCCTAACCTCCATGTTGCTCACCTTATTATGCCACTTTACACGGGAAATAGAACGCAGGCACCTATGATCAAAGACAGCTAGTCTTTTCATGTCTTCCACTCTCAGTGGCCAGGTCTCACAACCATAAAGGAGGACGGAGCGGACTGATGAGCAGTACACCCGCCCTTTGGTCAATAGTCGGATATCTCGTCTACGCCAGAGTCGGCGTAAACTGGCAAATGCGAAACGAGCCCCGTGTATTCGTGCTGAGATTTCGTCAGAGATCAACCCGTTAGCACTGGCTGATGGTACTTCCCAAATAAGTGAAGCGGTCAACGTGTTCTACCACTTCACTTCCTATTTTTAAAAAAGGCGTCGATGTAGTCCAGTCCTGTAACATCATCTTACATTTGGCGGGAGCGAATCGCATGCTAAACATTCGTAGATTGCGGCTCAGGGTGTTCAGAAGACTCTGCATTTCGTTGGCGCCTTCGCCTAGAAGGACTATATCGTCTGCATATTCCAAGTCAACGAGATTATTCCCCGGTAGCAAGTCAATCCCTGAGTCGCTGAAGTCACTTAGGGTTAAGTCCATTAACACATCTATGATGAAGTTGAGTGATGAAACATTTCTATTGCATGTCTTGGGTGTAGACTCGATGAACCAGCCAGGATTCAGTAATCAATCTCTCTCTCCACCTACGTAGATTACTTTTTAGGATTTTAACCCTCTCCCACAATGCCATTGTGTGGTTGTGTGTTAATGCATGCATTGCAATTGCTGAGCTTTTTTCTAAGTTACTTATGTTCTCGAATTGGGTCAACCATTCTTCCCTTAGCTAAATTCTTATGTTCTCACAGGCAATCTGACTACCCCTGACCTACTAGTTTGACCTATGTAGTTCACCTAAGTGACAGTCATTGTAGGGTATTTTGTAAATTATATTATTTTGTCTCATTGGGTCACCTGGGTCCTTTAACCTTAGGGGCATACTCAAAGACACAAGGTGGGACCTGTTTAATGAAGACTCTCTTGATGACACAATCTCTAATATTACAAGTTATCTCAAATTTTGTCTTGACACCTGTTATCCCAGAGAAACGCGCTTCATCAGATTTGACCGTTTCTCCTCCCCTCAACCTAAAATGCTTCGCAGACAAAAAGAAAAGCTATATAAAATGAAGGACAATACTGGTTTGAAAAGAATTAACATCCTAGTAAAATCTGAAATACACAGGTTGAATTTATTTTATAACCAAAAGTTATATCCTGCATAACACTGTGAGACTTTATCAAACAAAAATTTACCCATAATGGAATTATGCTTTGCTTTAACTTCTTAATGTAAAATATCAAGCGGAAGATCAGAAAAGAGGATAAGTCCAAGATACTTGATTTCTGATTTAATTCCTACATCATTGTTGTCAATCCCACAACTACCATGGGAATCAACGGCTTCTTTTAACTGTCTTTTACATCTTAAGCTGAAATTAACAGTTTGACATTTAGAAGGATTCAGTTTAAAACCCTTAGACTCAGATCATTATATTTTATAATTGTAAGTACCTGAATACGAGAAATTATTGCAAAAAAGATTATTCTTCGTTCAGATTGACTTTTAATTCATAATATAGGAATATTTCACACTATCATATTTTATATATATGTATATATATATATACTTATTCGCTTGCTAATTAATACAAGTACATTTCATTTGAATAATTTTAGATTCCACTGGAGGTGTATGGCGAGACCGACGTATTTATGGACCATGGAGGCATCGTGTTACACCTGAAACTGCAAGACGATCATTTTTCTTACCAAGACGTCTTCCTCGTCGTCCACCCCCTCCTTTCGTTTTTACTACTACTATTAATAATAATAATAGTAGTAGTAGTAGTTATCCATCATCGTCAGTCGAGGTGAAAAAACCTCTAAGGAATAAATTTTCTCATGTTCAATTACCAGAATTAAGTGGTTCTATTTCCGATGCAAAACATTTCGCAAAAAATGGTGGTGTTATTTCTCAAGATGTTGAAATATGGTCTACTTCCGCTATAGACGATTATAATGATGATTCAAAGGAACTTTTCCGAATACGTTTAGCTAGAGCATGGCAACGTAAAGCACAACGATTATTTTATGAATTCAGATTTCGTGTTCGAGCTGTAGTATTCACGGATCCATCATGTTCGTTAGATGTATCAAAAGAAGATATCGGTTGGGGATTAAATCTACTTGATAAAGAAACTGCAGATGATGAAGTTCCAATGATATGTAGACCTTCGGCGTTTGAAGAAAAGTTACCAGGGGACGTTATTAAATTCAGACAATGGTTATCTGCGGTATGTGTATTTGTGTGTGTGTTCGACTGTGTACAATTTTATTTCGTTTACACTTGTATCGATGAATTTATCTCTGAGAAAAATGGCACCGTAATTAGGGGATGGCTGTCAGCATAGACGACTGGAACGTTTGGAAGCAACACTTTGAGGAGCAATTCAATTGACCTACAGCCATGCTGAACCTACCCAGCATCCAACACTCGCCTGAATGCGACAGAGACACAGGTCCTCCGTCCCTAACTAAGGTTACGAAAGCTGTGAGTAATCTGAAATGAGAAGCAGAGCAGCGGAACTTGATGGTGGAACAACTCCAGAGGTGTTTAATAATAGTGGAGACAGTTTACCTCCTGCGTTAATTAAGGTATTAGGGAGCGCGTCTGGGAATCACACGAAGTCCTGTCGGGTCGGTAGAAGTCATTAATTATCCTGATATACAAAAAAGGAGGCAAGTGTTTCTGTGATAATCACAGGGGAATTATAGCTTTATCAACATGTTAACTGAAGTTCTATGCTCAATAATAATGTGTAGACTAAGGGGTTCTCGGGCTTTGGAGCAAGAAGATGGTATATTGATGATATCTTCAATCTTCGACAGATTCTGGAAGAGAACATGGGCATACTTAGCGTGCTTCCAACAATCGTCATATTTGTTGATGTGAAAGCGGCATTCGATTCTGTGGACCGAGAGGTATACTCTTGCGATGCTTGCCTGTCATAAAGGGAATGGTGGGAAAATACATCTCACTGGTCAAGGCACTCACTCTACTCGAACTCATGCAGTCAGGTGAGAGCCTAGGGAGAGTTGTCATCTGAAATCTGTGATGATAATCACTGTTGTCCATCCGACAGATTCCGACTGTCCCCATTTCCGTTTAGTTTCATCATAGATGCAATTGCTAATGGACTTAACCTTAACTGAGTTGAGTGGCTCAAGGACTGATTTGTTACCACCAAGGAATAATAGTCTCGTTGACTTAGAATATGCTGAAGATGACATGGTCACCACTTCAAGGTGAAGATGCTGATGAAACGAAGCAGAGTATTCTGAACACCTTGAGTTCGAGCAGAAATCTCTGAATGTTTGCATCATGCGAGCGATTCCCCCTGCTACTGCTGCTGCTGTCAAATGTAAGATGATGGATGCCAAAAGACTCTAATGCACTGCACACTACATTGACTACTCCCAACTTAAAGATAGACACCCAGATTGGAGTCAAGTGGTAAAGCGTGTTCACCACTTCACTTATTTGGGAAAGTGCATCAGCCAACGCAGCCGGCTGACCTTTCACGAAATCTCACCACACACATGCATACACAAGGCTCGTTTTTTTCATTTTTCAGCCAACCTTACTGACGCCATCTCTGTCCGGCTTAGTAGACGTGATATCCCACTGGCTATCTGGCTGGCTGGCTGGCTGGCTATTAGATATGGCCATCTGAATTGGAAGATATGAAAAGGCTGACTAGCTGGCTGTGTTTCATCAGAAATTGACTTGACTAACAAGTATATCTGTGTGTGTGTGTGTGTGTGTGTGGAGCTCAGATTGTTCGAAATTCACATTGCGGAAATACATCACATCGCATCACATCACATTATTTTTCAGATCTGTCTGTCTGTCTTCGACATAGAACCTTGCAGTGATGTGCACCAGTTCAATTCACCACACTCCCTCCATGTAGCACACAAAGCAACAGAAGAAAGCAGAAGTAAAAGAAATGCATAATAGAGAGAGACAGTAACACAGAGGTGTGAGACAAAGGAATAGTAGTAATAACGAAGAACAATATAGTTTCATTGGAAATCATAAGTCACAAGGAGTGAGTGGATGCATCTGCACTAGCCAGCCAGCCAGCCATTGAGAACGATCACTTTGAGCCATCTCATCACCAATTGTTTCCAGTCTTCATTGGTTTTGACCGTCGTGAGGACCCCAACCAGCCAGGAAGTTCACACCTTCCTACGTGGTTGACTGGCTGGCTTGCTTCAACTAACTGTTGTGGATTCCATTGACTGACGATGAAGCCACGTTATGCTTTGACCGCCGCTAGCTTTTTCCCAGCCTGACCAATCCTATGTCAGCCAGCTAACATTTCCCATTGTCGAGGAAGGCGATGACTAGGCAGGCATGCGTAACACATGTCCTAACCATCTCAGTCGATTTAGCTTCACAGCCTCATCGATTGATTTCCCCTTCCACCTACCTAGAACTCGACCGAAGCCTAACCGTAATATTGCTCACCTTATTATACCACTTAACACGGGAGATACAGCGCAGGCACCTATGATCAAAGACAGCTAGCCTGACTTTTCATGTCTTCCACTCTCAATGGCCAGGTCTCACAGCTAGCCATAAAGGAGGACGGAGCGGACTGTTGAGTAGTATTACACACGCCTTTTGATCGATAGCCAGCCGGATATCACGTCTACTGAGCCAGAGACGGCGTAAACTGGCTGGCATATGCGAAACTAGCCCTCTGTATCCGTACTCAGAGATCAATCCGTTGGGGCAGTGGTGTTTACTTTTACGGGAGTGGGGTTGCTAACCCCCACCCAACCTTTCCTCTTTACCAGCTTTATTTTTGGCTTAGCGGGGTAAAGGAGTGCGCTGGACGGGAATCGAATCCCGGAAAACCTGTTTGGTCAAATAAGGAATCTATCTAGTTCCACCATCACCCACCCTGGAAACAGAACGCTTCAATTCTAGTCAACAAGGATTGTTGTTCTCAGTACAAATTCAAATACGACAGCAAAGGTTTCTAGATATAGAAACACAGGGAAGAATTACAGAAACTGATAAATGATGAGAGACTGATTGATTCATCATAAAGCCTGAGAAAGGAACTTGAAGAGAAGAACGATTTTAGTAACACAAGTAGAGAATGAATGAATTAACCAGACGTTTGAAGAAACTAAGTAGGTGGGGGGGGGTAGATGTTTTCTGAAAGTTTATATGAAGAAATCCGACCAAAGGGCAGGTAAACTGTGCAAAGATTGTACGGCCTACCTAAAGTGTCGAAACCGGTAGTACCCTTAAGACCAATAATTGATATGCTAAATTCTCCCTACCATGCTCTAGCCAGATGGCTGGTGACTATGCTCAAACCTTTGCATGAACAGATAGTGAAATATAGCGTCAAAGATGTATTTGAATTCGTAGATAAAATCAAAGATATTAATATCAAGGACAAAACTATGATATCTTTGGAAATAACATCTTTATTCACAAATGTATCTCTAGTAGAAACAGTTAACTACATATGTGAACAAGTGTGTGTGTAACCAGTCGATACATATCGCCATACAAACGGAAATTCTAAAAGAATTGCTATCAAGGTGTACACCATGAATGTAAATCTCAAATTTGATGGTACACTTCAGAGACAAGTGAACGGAGTCCTCGTTGGGTTCCGTCTTAGCAGATTTCTTTCTAATCAAACTAGAAAATGAACCTTTGAACAACAGCTTATCACAAAATTCTCATTTTATTTATTATTATTATTTCCTTTAATTCCTAGAGGAACATACTGCTTCAGCCGCCCAAGTCTCCATTGCCTTCGGTTTTCTGCCAACTTTTTCACCCCGCTCCAAGTCTGCCTCCACATGCTTTCATCTCCTCTTCACATGACCTCATCCACTCCATGTCATCCTCACACTGACGACCAACTCGCCGCTCCTCTTTCGGGTTCCACTCGAGTGATGGCTTGTCTAGTGATGTCACTCACTTGATGGTTTCCCCAGAGTATGGCCAATCCACCTCCATTTCTTCTTGCCTGTTTGTTACGGAATAGACTCCTGCTGCGTTGGTTCGCTCATTGCTAGAGATCCCTGTTGCTGATCATTTCTGGTCGGCCACCTGATCTTGAGTATTGAGCGAAGACAACTGTTAATGAAGGTCTGAAGTTTGTTTGTTTATGACGCGCTGGCCAAGTCTCTGATCCGTATAGTAGCACTGACTTCACATTGTAGTTGAAAATCCGGATATTATTTTTCATTCTGAGTCAATCTTGTTGACCTCCACACAGACTTAAGAGCGATGAAAGCTTGTCTTGCTTTCCCGATTCTGGCTTGGATATCCTCGTCAGTTCCGCCTGTAGTTGAAACGATACTTTCCAGGTAGGTATGTGTGTGAAGGAGGTTGTTTCTTTCAGGTTCCTCTCATTTATGCTGATTGTTGTCTGTTGTTGTTGCTGTTGGCCAGGAATCTTCATCACCTCTGTTTTATCTATGTTCACTTGAAGTCCTATCTTTGATGCTTCTTCAATGCTTCTGCTGGGATTCCATCTAGTCCTGCTGCTTTTCCAGCTTTTAGCATCTTGATTGCATCCAGGACTTCTGATTTAGTCGGGGTGTCGATGTTCACTGGTAGTTCTGCTTCCGTTGTTGGTATTGTTGGGCTCGTTGTAGGTGGCGGTCGATTTAAAAAGAAGTCTTTTGAAGTGTTCAGCCCAGTGTTTTCTTTGCTCCACTTCTTTGGTGATTGACTTTCCATTGTCATCCTTTACTGGCTTAATCTGTGTCGAACTTTTGACCGATAGGTGCCTAGTTGTTTGGTAGATTGTGGCGAGGTCTCCTTTGCCTGCACTTCAGCTTGTTCTGCTTCACTTGACATGGCTTCATAATATTTTCTTTTGTCTTCCCTGGCACTCTTCTTTACTCTTTTGTTTAGTGTATTGTAGCTTGCATTGAACTCCTGTTTTTGTTGCTCGTCGGTGCAGTGGATAATCTTTTGCTTCACTATTCTTCCCTCTTCTATTAGTTTCCAAGTATCCGCAGTACATTTTATTCACCGCTATATGGATGATACCTACATTCTTTGTAACAATCAGTCAGATAGGAACACAATAATACCTCAGTTCAATGATGTACATTCTGTTATGAAATTCACGTGCGAAGAGGGGTCCCAAAATAGAATGAATCGCCTTCCTAGATATCCTTCTTACAAGAAAACCAGATGGTAGTATATACAGGAATTTGCATAGGAAAAGTATGTGGACAGGGCCAATATACACAATTTCACAGCTTAGTTCCTATCAAGTACAAAAGAAATTTAGTAAAGACTCTCAGCCGGAGAGTTAGTTAGAGCTATATGCTCAGAAGAGGTAACTGAAGATGAACTAAGGATTGCATGTAATACCTTGATTGAAAATAGCTATCCAGACAAATTCATCACGAAACATATGACTAAGAAATTTGGAAAGGATTACTCACTATCCGTAAACAAGAAGCCTTAATACGTATGACTGCAATTCAAGGTCGATATATACCTAGAGAAATAATTACGAAGAAGTTAAGAAAATCAGTCATATTTTCTACGCGACCGATCAGTGGTGATTCGTCAGTTGAAAGATGAAGTACCCAGACTAAACTACCCACTTCTACTTGTATCTATCGATTCGACTGCACTTGTGCTAGGGCGTGTTATATTGGTCGCTGCTCTAGGAACTTGATTTTTAGTGCTCGTTCGGGAACATCTCCCAGTTTGGATAAGTAAGGGTGTAGTATAAAACATAAAGAGTTCGATATTAGACCACCTGGTCCAAACCGGCCACAACGATAATATTGCACAATCCTTCTCCATCATCGAATGTCGGGTACCAAATAAATTGCGAAAAACATCGAAGTACCGCCCGCACCAAATAGGACAGGCTATTGCAATTCGCCTCAAACAACCAGTGCTCTGTGTGTAAAAGAAGCAAGTCCAGCTACTATAACTATAACCATCTCAGTCGATTTAGCTTCACAGCCTCATCGATTGATTTCCCCTTCCACCTACCTAGAACTCGACCGAAGCCTAACCGTAATATTGCTCACCTTATTATACCACTTAACACGGGAGATACAGCGCAGGCACCTATGATCAAAGACAGCTAGCCTGACTTTTCATGTCTTCCACTCTCAATGGCCAGGTCTCACAGCTAGCCATAAAGGAGGACGGAGCGGACTGTTGAGTAGTATTACACACGCCTTTTGATCGATAGCCAGCCGGATATCACGTCTATTGAGCCAGAGACGGCGTAAGCTGGCTGGCATATGCGAAACTAGCCCTCTGCGTCCGTACTCAGCTGAGATTTCGTCAGAGATCAACCTGTTGGCACTGGCTGATGGTACTTCTCAAATGAGTGATGCGGTCAACACGCTCCACCAACTACTTCACTCCCTATATGTAAACTAGGAGTCAGTTTAATCGGGTCCAGTCCTGTAATATCATCTTACATTTGGCGTGAGCTAATCGCACGCCAAACATTCGTGGATTGCAGCTTAAGGTGTTTGGAAGACTTTGCATATGACTCTCTGTCTGTCTCTCTCTCTCTCTCTTTGCGAAAACTCCCCATAATCTGCATTTTTCTGATAATCTCCATTTCCTAACAATAACACTATGCGAAGAATTTATCAAAAACAATATTGTTCACTCACAATCATTTCGTTCGGATATAATAATCACCATACTTTGGTATCAGTTCGTTTTTGTTCCTTTTTTCTGGTGTGTGTGTGTGTGTTTCAACAGAACCTTTGGTCAACGATTTTTTCTTCTACTCTCTTGTTCAACAGCATTTCATTTCAAGCTGTACAATATACGATAAACATATGTTGACTAACTCTATAGTTAGGAGAACACATTCAATTTTTAACACAGCGATTAGCAATCTACACGCACTTGAATGTGGTACTTTACTTAGTTGCTAACACGTATGTGTCTGTATGTATGTATAAACAGCACGCTTTGTGTGTTTTCTTCTTCTCTTTTTGAAATTTTGTCATTGTTATTTTTTACTCTCTCTCTCTCTCTCCAAATTCTTTTAGAATTCAGTGAACTTTGTAGCAGCGGATACTGAATTTGGCGTTCTATTGAATCGAGAAGTTTATCATAATGGTATTGACGATTATGATGATGAAACAATCTATGAAATTCCAAAAGTGTCATCCGGTAAGTTAGCGTAAATATGTGTGTGTGTGTGTGTGTGATTGATTGTCCGTTATGATGAATATGGTGTGTTTAGTCAATGAAATCTTGAACTTTTAATTGAATTTTAGATTTTCCCGTCGATTGATTGATTGAACCGAAGTTCTCCTCGGTCTCAGGTTGACATGCCTGTCGGCCCTCTTGTGCAGATGCTTCGACGTTGACGTATGGGGGAAATTTAATTAGCATTTAATTGGTGGACGGTGACTGACTAGCAGTGGAATCCAGTCCAGGATAACGCACATTTCACCGGTTCTATTTGGGACTCGTCTGCCAGCTGGCTGGAGTTACCTGCATTTCTCAGTGAATCAGTGATGGTGTTCCCCACATCGAGGCCCGAACCCAGTGTCCATAGTTTCAAACACAAGCCAAAGCCGACATGTTATCAACCTGAGACCGATCACTTCGGTCCAATCAATCAATGGATGGGAAAATCTAAAATGCAATTAAATAATTAATATAACCCGTTACACAAGAGGTGGGGTGGCTCTCGTGACCCAAGCGGTCTAGTGGATAACGCTTTCACTGATGTTTGAAACTATGGACACTGCGATCGAGCATCGGTGCGGGGGACATCATCACTGACTCACTGAGAAATGCAGGTACATCCCCAGCTGGCAAAAGAGCCCCAAATAGGACGAAATAGGGCGCGTTATCCTGGACTGGATTCCACTGCTAGTCACCATCCACCAATGAAATCTTGAAATGTTGATATTAAATAGTTGAAGGCTATCGGCCACAGGTGGAGGAAGCCTTGCTTGATCTAGGTGTTTAGTGCTTGTTGGTATTCACCAGCCTGTCAGTGTCAGTTAGGCGTATGTATCTGCAATCAACTTGAAGGTACAACTCATGTCCTTTTCTTTTTGAGATTCGAACCCGCATCACCCAGTGCTGCTCGCATTCAGAGATAGGTTACCAGCAGTTGAGCTATTCGAACTCGTGATTGACCTCCTGTAGGACTGTAGACCTCCAACCATATAATATCAATAATTCAAAGAGCACCGTGATAGCAAGCCTAATTGCAAACTTCACTGTTATAGAATTCAGTCTGCACCAAAGATAAGACTACGCACAATACACACACAGTAGTCATTGGCTAGTGTCCAATCAAAGGATCTGGAACTGTTAGTTTGAAGCGGCTATGTAGGCAGAGAAACACATTCACATCAACCTGAAACCAATCTGGAAATCTTCCTCACACAACATCAACAACAAAATTCGGTCGGATTTTCAATACAAACGTCAAGTCAGTCAGTTCTTCTTGGCGGGTGGGTCACAAAGAATATTTCCAACAGCCTGTTGCAGACCTTTATCAACAGCTAACTGCCTTCGCTGGATCTATACTGAAGACCAGATGGCTGGACCGGAAAGAATCACCAACAAGAAACTATAGGAACAAACAAAACAATCTCCAACCAACAAATATGCAGGAGAAAGTGGAGATGGATTGAACACTCTCTGAGGAGGCCGCTGCTTGGTGACATCGCGCGCGCATCAGGCCGTTGCTCGAGTGGAATCAGGCTGAAAGGGAAGCACGTGGCTAGTGGGACGTCAGTGCGAGGGTGACATGGGGGAGATCGTGTGAAGAGGAGTTGAAACAGTATAGACTAACATGGATGCAGGTGAAAAGTACAGCAGAAGGAAGACAGAATCAAGTGGAGACGTGCAGTTGAAGCCCTATGTTGCACTAGGAACCCAAGGGAACAATAAATAAAATAAACAATGTAGGCGGAGATGTAGACTAAACACGTGTTACGCACGCCTAACCATCTCTATTCCTCAACACGAAAGGCTAGCTGACACAGGATCAGATAGGAAGAGTTGCCTGCCGGTGGTGGATAAACAATCCATAAAGAGGTTACTTTCTGCCTTCACTTATCTCTAGACTACGCAACCAGCATCGTTTCAACCACAGGCAGTCAGTCGAAATGGATAAAGATGTCAAAACCAGCCAGCCCGGCAGCCAGCGAGAATCGGAAAGGCAAGATTCGCCTTCATCAATCTGAAAACCAGTTTGCAAATTTTCTGCTTCACTCCACCTCAGCTAGCATAAACAACAAGATTCGGATTGTATTCAACACAAATGTCAGTGAAGTCAGTTAGTCATTCAGTTGTTCTATAGAGAAATCAGAAACTTGTACTGAACGTGTGTCACGAACAGTATTTCCAGCAGGTCACTGCAGAATTTTATCAATAAGCTGGTTCCATACTGAAGATCAAAAGGGCTAGGTGGCTAGCTGGTGGGTGGCCAGAAAGAATTAGCAACAAGAAACTCTGGCTGTTAATGAGCGAATCAACGAAGAGCTGTCGATTGCTCAGCAAATACGTCGGGGAAAACATAGATGGATTGATCGGCCATACACTGAGGTAGGAGGTTGTAGAATGACGTCGCGGACAATGCAGGGTACTGCATGAATGAAATTCGTGTGGGAATCAACGAGTTGCCTTTAGTTATTCCTAGCGTGATCGTATGAAGAGGGGATAAGCATATAGGGAATTGGGGGCCCAGCTAAGAGGGGCATCACAGTGAATAGGACAATTGGGGAGATATTCTGTTGACGCTCTATTTCACACTAGGAATCCAAGGCAACAATATAAATAAATATGATCGTTTTAAAAGAATGGTTACTGGACAAAGAATACTCTTTTCGCTAACTTCACCATCAGGCTCTACAGTTAAATATACATTATAGTGAATGAATGAGTGAATTAGTGTTATGAACAACATAAATGTTGCTGTTTAAATAACATCGAATCAATAATAATAATAATACCAATGGATTACAGTTCAATAGCATCAACATTAAATAAGCTGAATGTCAGGAAAATTAGGGAAAAGATAATATTACAAATTCATGAATTTATAGTCTCCACTGAAGACCGGCCAAGACAGTTATAGTGGCTGGACTTGCTTCTTTTACACACAGAGCACTGGTTGTTTGAGGCGAATTGCAATAGCCTGTCCTATTTGGTGCGGGCGGTACTTCGATGTTTTTCGCAATTTATTTGGTACCCGACATTCGATGATGGAGAAGGATTGTGCAATATTATCGTTGTGGCCGGTTTGGACCAGGTGGTCTAATATCGAACTCTTTATGTTTTATACTACACCCTTACTTATCCAAACTGGGAGATGTTCCCGAACGAGCACTAAAAATCAAGTTCCTAGAGCAGCGGCCAATATAACACGCCCTAGCACAAGTGCAGTCGAATCGATAGATACAAGTAGAAGTGGGTAGTTTAGTCTGGGTACTTCATCTTTCAACTGACGAATCACCACTGATCGGTCGCGTAGAAAATATGACTGATTTTCTTAACTTCTTCGTAATTATTTCTCTAGGTATATATCGACCTTGAATTGCAGTCATACGTATTAAGGCTTCTTGTTTACGGATAGTGAGTAATCCTTTCCAAATTTCTTAGTCATATGTTTCGTGATGAATTTGTCTGGATAGCTATTTTCAATCAAGGTATTACATGCAATCCTTAGTTCATCTTCAGTTACCTCTTCTGAGCATATAGCTCTAACTAACTCTCCGGCTGAGAGTCTTTACTAAATTTCTTTTGTACTTGATAGGAACTAAGCTGTGAAATTGTGTATATTGGCCCTGTCCACATACTTTTCCTATGCAAATTCCTGTATATACTACCATCTGGTTTTCTTGTAAGAAGGATATCTAGGAAGGCGATTCATTCTATTTTGGGACCCCTCTTCGCACGTGAATTTCATAACAGAATGTACATCATTGAACTGAGGTATTATTGTGTTCCTATCTGACTGATTGTTACAAAGAATGTAGGTATCATCCATATAGCGGTGAATAAAATGTACTGCGGATACTTGGAAACTAATAGAAGAGGGAAGAATAGTGAAGCAAAAGATTATCCACTGCACCGACGAGCAACAAAAACAGGAGTTCAATGCAAGCTACAATACACTAAACAAAAGAGTAAAGAAGAGTGCCAGGGAAGACAAAAGAAAATATTATGAAGCCATGTCAAGTGAAGCAGAACAAGCTGAAGTGCAGGCAAAGGAGACCTCGCCACAATCTACCAAACAACTAGGCACCTATCGGTCAAAAGTTCGACACAGATTAAGCCAGTAAAGGATGACAATGGAAAGTCAATCACCAAAGAAGTGGAGCAAAGAAAACACTGGGCTGAACACTTCAAAAGACTTCTTTTTAAATCGACCGCCACCTACAACGAGCCCAACAATACCAACAACGGAAGCAGAACTACCAGTGAACATCGACACCCCGACTAAATCAGAAGTCCTGGATGCAATCAAGATGCTAAAAGCTGGAAAAGCAGCAGGACTAGATGGAATCCCAGCAGAAGCATTGAAGAAGCATCAAAGATAGGACTTCAAGTGAACATAGATAAAACAGAGGTGATGAAGATTCCTGGCCAACAGCAACAACAACAGACAACAATCAGCATAAATGAGAGGAACCTGAAAGAAACAACCTCCTTCACACACATACCTACCTGGAAAGTATCGTTTCAACTACAGGCGGAACTGACGAGGATATCCAAGCCAGAATCGGGAAAGCAAGACAAGCTTTCATCGCTCTTAAGTCTGTGTGGAGGTCAACAAGATTGACTCAGAATGAAAAATAATATCCGGATTTTCAACTACAATGTGAAGTCAGTGCTACTATACGGATCAGAGACTTGGCCAGCGCGTCATAAACAAACAAACTTCAGACCTTCATTAACAGTTGTCTTCGCTCAATACTCAAGATCAGGTGGCCGACCAGAAATGATCAGCAACAGGGATCTCTAGCAATGAGCGAACCAACGCAGCAGGAGTCTATTCCGTAACAAACAGGCAAGAAGAAATGGAGGTGGATTGGCCATACTCTGGGGAAACCATCAAGTGAGTGACATCACTAGACAAGCCATCACTCGAGTGGAACCCGAAAGAGGAGCGGCGAGTTGGTCGTCAGTGTGAGGATGACATGGAGTGGATGAGGTCATGTGAAGAGGAGATGAAAGCATGTGGAGGCAGACTTGGAGCGGGGTGAAAAAGTTGGCAGAAAACCGAAGGCAATGGAGACTTGGGCGGCTGAAGCAGTATGTTCCTCTAGGAATTAAAGGAAATAATAATAATAAATAAAATGAGAATTTTGTGATAAGCTGTTGTTCAAAGGTTCATTTTCTAGTTTGATTAGAAAGAAATCTGCTAAGACGGAACCCAACGAGGACTCCGTTCACTTGTCTCTGAAGTGTACCATCAAATTTGAGATTTACATTCATGGTGTACACCTTGATAGCAATTCTTTTAGAATTTCCGTTTGTATGGCGATATGTATCGACTGGTTACACACACACTTGTTCACATATGTAGTTAACTGTTTCTACTAGAGATACATTTGTGAATAAAGATGTTATTTCCAAAGATATCATAGTTTTGTCCTTGATATTAATATCTTTGATTTTATCTACGAATTCAAATACATCTTTGACGCTATATTTCACTATCTGTTCATGCAAAGGTTTGAGCATAGTCACCAGCCATCTGGCTAGAGCATGGTAGGGAGAATTTAGCATATCAATTATTGGTCTTAAGGGTACTACCGGTTTCGACACTTTAGGTAGGCCGTACAATCTTTGCACAGTTTACCTGCCCTTTGGTCGGATTTCTTCATATAAACTTTCAGAAAACATCTACCCCCCCCACCTACTTAGTTTCTTCAAACGTCTGGTTAATTCATTCATTCTCTACTTGTGTTACTAAAATCGTTCTTCTCTTCAAGTTCCTTTCTCAGGCTTTATGATGAATCAATCAGTCTCTCATCATTTATCAGTTTCTGTAATTCTTCCCTGTGTTTCTATATCTAGAAACCTTTGCTGTCGTATTTGAATTTGTACTGAGAACAACAATCCTTGTTGACTAGAATTGAAGCGTTCTGTTTCCAGGGTGGGTGATGGTGGAACTAGATAGATTCCTTATTTGACCAAACAGGTTTTCCGGGATTCGATTCCCGTCCAGCGCACTCCTTTACCCCGCTAAGCCAAAAATAAAGCTGGTAAAGAGGAAAGGTTGGGTGGGGGTTAGCAACCCCACTCCCGTAAAAGTAAACACCACTGCCCCAACGGATTGATCTCTGAGTACGGATACAGAGGGCTAGTTTCGCATATGCCAGCCAGTTTACGCCGTCTCTGGCTCAGTAGACGTGATATCCGGCTGGCTATCGATCAAAAGGCGTGTGTAATACTACTCAACAGTCCGCTCCGTCCTCCTTTATGGCTAGCTGTGAGACCTGGCCATTGAGAGTGGAAGACATGAAAAGTCAGGCTAGCTGTCTTTGATCATAGGTGCCTGCGCTGTATCTCCCGTGTTAAGTGGTATAATAAGGTGAGCAATATTACGGTTAGGCTTCGGTCGAGTTCTAGGTAGGTGGGAGGGGAAATCAATCGATGAGGCTGTGAAGCTAAATCGACTGAGATGGTTAGGACATGTGTTACGCATGCCTGCCTAGTCATCGCCTTCCTCGACAATGGGAAATGTTAGCTGGCTGACATAGGATTGGTCAGGCTGGGAAAAAGCTAGCGGCGGTCAAAGCATAACGTGGCTTCATCGTCAGTCAATGGAATCCACAACAGTTAGTTGAAGCAAGCCAACCAGTCAGCCAGCCAGCCAGCCACATAGGAAGGTGTGAACTTCCTGGCTGGTCGGGGTCCTCACGACGGTAAAAACCAATGAAGGCTGGAAACAATTGGTGATGAGATGGCTCAAAGTGATCGTTCTCAATGGCTGGCTGACTGGCTAGCGCAGATGCATCCACTCACTCCTTGTGACTTATGATTTCCAATGAAACTATATTGTTCTTCGTTATTACTACTATTCCTTTGTCTCACACCTCTGTGTTACTGTCTCTCTCTATTATGCATTTCTTTTACTTCTGCTTTCTTCTGTTGCTTTGTGTGCTACATGGAGGGAGTGTGGTGAATTGAACTGGTGCACATCATTGCAAAGTTCAATATCGAAAACAGATAGACAGACTGAAACTTGAAGCCCTATGTTTCACCGGGAACGTGAAGGAGTAAAAAAAATATATAGAAATAATAAGTAGTACCATGATTTATTTTTTATTATTATTATTATTGTTAACGTTGATTTTCTTCATCTTTTTTTTTAATCAGGTACAACTGATACTGATCTGATTCCTGTCACCGTATTAGATAATGTGTTCATTTATTTTCAACGCAGGCTAGAACTTCCATTTTTCCCTCAATGCTGGTTTTGATTCGTTAGCGTGAACATTGAAAATACCACTACACATCGACTGTCTGAATGAATCCTGTAAATTCAACTAAATCTTTCCTCCAAGAATTTCACTTTTATGTGTGTTGTTTATTTTTTTTATATCTTATTGTTTGTTATAAATAGATGATACGTTTCTCGTCAAAGCTCTTCAAAACACATTTTACTATGTCTCCATTTAAAATTTTCATGAAAGAAAGAGATTGTTGCGTCAATTGCTTCGTATTTAGCACTGTGTTATTTTCGGTTACTATAATAATTGTTCCCATTGAATTTTCAATGGAACAAAACAGTACATCGCTATTTTTGTCCTAGTCTCTGTCTGCGCATTGTTCTCGTTAGCAGCTGTATTCTCGTGCCATTTTCTCACACGATCTCCTCAGACTATCAACTACACACCTAACTTTAATAGACAAAACACCAGTAGTTCAGCGAACAGTCTCTTTTCGGTGGCGAATTCATTTTCATAGCTGTAGAATCACAAATATATATGGTTACTTTGTCAAACGAAAATACAATTAGTAAGTTCAGATGAATTGGATTTTGATAAGTTGATAGTGACAAAAGTGATGAGTTGTCATAAATGATTGTTAAATAAGAGTTACTTGATGGCGTGAATAGTTTGATGAAAGAGTTGTCCTCAGGGTGTACATGGAAACAAAATAATACACAGAATTACACAAGAATTTTAAGTAGTTAGAAAAGAAATAAATAAGCATACAAACAAAAGTTAAGTCAAATCAACGGAGTTGTTACAATGAGAGTAGAAGTGGTTGAATAATTTTCTTTTGTATGCATAGTTCTGGTTCTTCCGCCAACTGAATGGCTAGGGCTTCTGCAATGCAAAGAAGAAGGAATCGTACTGTCTTTGGAAGGTTGTTCTTCACTTTGTAGATTACTTTGAAGTAGGAGGCGTTTGTTGAGATGGAATGACCAGTGGTGACGAGATGTTCGATTATTGCACTCCCTATACGGCCATTAGTTCCTTTCTGCAGCCACGCTGGATAGTGTTCTTTGACCCTTTTTGACAGGATGCACGTTGAACGGTCGATGTTCCTAGCTGGCTCCACAGCAAGAGGTGTACTGATATATACACATAGAAGTGGGTAGCACAGTGGTTAGGACTCTCGCCGACCATGCACATGGTCCGGGGTTCGAGCTCACGCCGGCGCACACCTGATATCTATGGTCGGCCTGCAAAATTTGGGCTACCGATATCCATGCTGAAAATTCCATACTTGTACTAAAAATACAGTGTGGAATCAAGCTGTAAAAATCAAAAAAAAAAAAAATCAAGTGGTCATGTGCGGAATATTGTCCTTTGGGCTTCTGTAGATCAGCGGGCGACTGAAGAACACTACTCTTAATGTTGCCGCAGGGAAAGTTCTTCCTAAAGAGGTGGAAATTCTCCTTCTGAGGACGTCATTAAGTAGGTCTCCTTTGAAGTCCAAGTTCATATAAAGTATCGTTTTAGGTATGAATGGTATCTCTTGCTTTTGGATTCTTTTGTTTGATGTTTTTGTCTACGAATCTTGATGGGTAGCCCTTTTGTATGAAGATTTCTTTCAGGAAGTTTAGTTCTTCTATGGTGTCAGAGCTGCAGATGCGTCTGACGCGAGTGGCAAGGGATTTAATTAGGTTTCTTTTCCGACTGATTGGTACCCAGCTGTAGAAGCTTGTGAGTTGGCCCTTTCGCGTGTGTGTTTCCTGTGGATGGACCTTATTAAAGTTCCGTCAGCTCTGCTTGTAAGCTCAACATCAAGAAAAGGGATTTTATATTCGTTTTCAATTTCTAGAGTGAACTTTGTAGCTGAATGGCATTTGTTGAATATTTGCAGTACTTGATTGAGATATTGGCTGTCATCATCAACTAACTTGTCGTTTCCCATTCGGGTTGAACTGGAATGATAACTTTGGTGAGCGATGAATGTCATTCGACGATCTTCTCAACGTGTGTGTGTGTGTGTCCCCGATCCATCTCCACTTTCTTCGTCATATTTATTGGACAATAGATTCTTCAGATTGGTTCGTCGCCCCAATTTCTTGAGGCTGGTTCTCTCTGGTCAGCCGTCTGATTGATTTTTTTCAGTTATGTAGTCAGCCATAGAAAAGGGTCGCTGTTTGATAAAATTCTGCGGTAACGTACCTGTTGGAAATACTTCCCGTGATTGTTATGCTTCTTTTTGGTAATAATCAAAACACAGAAGTAGGATTATCAGTTCTCATGTGTTCACTCAATCTATGGTTGGTGTCACTGTTAATACCATTTTTAGTTGCGCGAACGAATCCCCTGTCTGTTCGATTTGGAGAGCCTATAGTGCTAACCAATATTAGCAACAATAACAACACAATACGATACGATATCACCGAAAACGCGAAGCAGGAAGGGAAGACACACCGTTGGCGTGGATAGCTTCCATTGTCTTGGATCAACAGTGAAGATAATTGACCGTGCTTGCTCATGTATATATATATATATATATATATATATATATATGTGCTTCAAATGACCCTGAGAGACACTAATGACACTGGCGAATTAAACACAGTTCACAACCAACAGGATTTCTAGGTCATAAGTGGGGTGAGAGAAGATTAAGTGTAGATATGAATAAGTGGGTTGGGAGAATTACAAACAAACATGTAGAAAATCAGGTCTATAAATCAATGGTAGTGTTACCTAGAGCGTTGTTTGGCTTCTTTGTCAGTTGCCATTCGTTTTCGCCTACATATCTGAGTAGTAACACCGTGTACATTCTTAGGTGCTGTCTGTCAATTATGGCTGACCAGAAAGATCAATTGAATACTTCGATTGGACACTAGTCAGCAAGTAGTGTCGTTTGTCTAGTCTTTTGCTTGGTGTACAGGTTGAATTCTATCAACAACCAAGTTTCGAAAACATTTATTTCTGATACGAATTTAAAAAAAGCAATGAAGGTTAATACAGCAGGATTTAATGAATTCATCAAATTTCGATAGAACTCGTCAGCTGCTCAGTACTCTACATACACGGATATATATACTTTTGAAATTACATTGGGAGATATAAGACTGATAGGTAGATAAACTACATTGAATTAGTCATGCAGAAAGACAGGTGCGAATGTTTTCCAGGTCATGTTCAAATAGATAAGGGGAGAGGAAGTATGAGAGATCAAGATTAAGATAAATTGTATTACGCTTCAATTACATAGCTTAGATAAACAATTAGTCATTAGGAAATATAACGAGAATTGCAAACATAGTAATATCAATAGTAATGGTTATAATAATAATAATAGTGTTGAGGTGAGTTAAGATAATCCTACTGATAAAGCATAGTTTTAAATGAATCAAGAATAATAATAATAAGAGGTAGAATAATAAGTAAAACGTATTACCATGTTAGATTCAGAGTCAAGACCATCTCCTTTTGTATACAGAGACCTGGTTTATAAGCTCGAATTGCACAAGCCTCTGCAACTGCAAGCATCTTCCTGTTTCTTTGTCTGCTGACAATAGTGAATGACTTGACCGCGTCGATATCATGTCAGCAATCCACAAGATGTTTTGTTATTGAGGTTTATTTTGGCACTTTGCACTCAGCTGTTTTCAACCATTTTGGAAAATGCTCCATCATGCGAGTAGACAATTGGCTTTCTGTACCACTTATGTATTTGTTTCCACAAACACACTCAAATTGATACACATGGTTTGAAGTGTCGAGGATCGGCGACTGGTCTTTCCCAGATTTGTGAAGCACTCGCTTAGTGGTGTTAAGGAAAACAAGTTTTGCAGCATAAGTTCTCTTGATGGCTTTGTCGAGTCTTCGTTTGACTACTTCCTGTACATCATCTCCTTTGAACGGCAAGCTGATATAGACATGTTTCTTCGGAACTGTTTACAATGTGACCACCATGCCACTACTAGGTGGCTTGCCATCATGATAAATGTGAATTGTTGATATTAGATGGTCGAAGTCAGTCGACAAGAAGCCCTACGTGGACCTAGATTTTGTGCTTGTTGTCACCCACCAGTGAGCAAGGCGTATCTTCTATCTAGAAGGAACTCATGACCATTCTGAGATTCGAACCCTGGTTACCCACCCAGTGAGTATTGAAGTCAGCAGTGTTACTGCTGAGCTATTCGGGCTCTCAATAGACCTCCTGCAGGACTGACTGTATTGAATGCACGAGTTCCTTCAAGATTTCTCGCGAGTCCCGACAATCATGAAACTTAGGTTGGAGGCTTCTTGTGTCCGATTACCAACAACCATCTAATATAAGAACACTGAAATTAGACAACCTTTTCTATTTCAAGTTTCTTCCATGATATGCCAATCTCAGAACTTAGATGGTTGGAGGCAATCGCCAAGAGGAAGCCTTGCTTGACCTAGGTTTCGTGCTAGTTGGCACTCACAAGTCAGCAAGGCGTATCTGCAACCACATTGAAGGAACTCATGTCCCTTCTGAGATTCGAACCCGCGTCACCCAGTGCAGCCTGCAGTCAGAGACGTTACCACTGAGCTATTTGGGCTCGCAATTGACCTCCTGTAGGACTGTAGTGGATATTTTGGTTTGACACTATTAACTAGTGCGACATGTCTAGTCCTTTCTTTGGTGCAGGTTTGCAATGTGTCCACCATTCTAGGTAGTTCGCCATCAGAACTTATTATGATTAGACCAAATAATCATAACTGAGTGTTTCATAGTGTCAGAATCGAGAAATTGTACATCCCGATTTAACTTGCAGTTATTCTCAGCCGGGCGTTAAGATCTCGGTATACGCGCACAGCTCTAATAAAACCAACTCAAAGATGACATGTATGATTGGTCTTAGGCGGTGGTTCCGTGGGCTTTGAAGCCATTCAACACTTGCGCTACTTCTGTTTCAGAAGTTTGAAGAAGAAATCAACTTTCACGGCGTAGGCAGATGAGAAGTAAGTAACAATAAGCCTTCTTAACCATTAACCACTATCCCTTTACTCTTCTTCCAATGTTAACACTCTTCCTCAAGTATGTTCTCCACTTTCAACTAATAATAATAATAGCTACAGGAGCCTGAAAACACTAAAGATGAACTAACTCTTACAGCCATGCTGCCAACTTCATTTTGGTGACCTTTCGCTAAATCGAATAACAAGACTTACTAGTCAGAAATCTCTCTCTTTATCTCTTGCATTTCAAGCCATGAATGTGTGCTGTGTTTCAAAGACATACGCACTAGACCTAAGCATGTATACTCAATTGGTCAACAGGATGATTTTGCGAAATTCACTTCATGAGTGTCAGGAGATTCCTCGTCGGTCTAGTTCTTGAGGACTTGGAGGTGTAGGCACTGTATTGACCTCTGGCACAGAAAATTCTATGCACGTGTGTGTGAGCTTTCCGACTGATTGGGCTTGTGGGAAGTAGTCGTCAAGAGTGATGAGGCCATTCAGAAAGCAAAAATATTGAGTGAAGAAATATCTGCTTTTCAATTAGATCCTCATTTCACTCTGGCTCTACTCTAATATACATACATGTATAGGATTTTTCTTTAATACAATATTTTTTTTTTGATTACAGCTTGATTCCATACTGTATTTTTGGTACAAGTATGGAATTTTCAGCATGTGATATCGGTAGCCCAAATTTTGCAGGCCGACCATAGATATCAGGTGTGCGTCGGCAGGGGATCGAACCTCAGACCATGTGCATGGTCGGTGAGAGTCCTAACCACTGTGCCGCCGACACAACTGTTTACCAAACAAGTGGTACTGATATGTTTATTAATAATAATTAAAACAAGATTTTGAGCGAACAATTGTTTTCGATAACTTCTTCAGGCTCCACAGTTAGTTATAAATCCATGAGTAATAGAGTACATATAGCCAGCCAATAAAGGCAAATGAAAATAATATCAGAAACTGTATTCGGGTGGTGCATGTGTAAGTTGAGATGATAGTCCATTAGTTAGTTAACATAGTCAATCAAATGTCTATAAGGTGTATAGTCAGAAAAAATGTGATGAAGTG